TCCACAAAGTGTCGGTCACCATTTATAACAGTGAGTTTCTGGTGCTTTGCTCTGCTCAGGGGCAGTTTCTCTCTCACAGCCTGTGCAACAAGATACTGAGTTTTTTTCCCTGTCTCTCCCTACAGTCTCTAATGCAAAAAATGTTGACCCTGGCAAGTTCCCTATGCACTACTGCTACTGTTTGAACAACGCGACAAACGACTTGACAGGTGGGCACACAAGAGAGGTTGGCAATTGCACGTGTTTAAGCTGAATTATTTCCTTTGGAGATGAAGGCTGTAGCCTGAATTCTGCAGGCTGCATCCTTATGAGCAGCATCACCATACTGAGACCAACAGCCATAACTCATGATGAATGGCTGCTCCGACTCAGTGAGCCGGGTCTCAGGTGGCTGCACCCAGCCAGACAGTCTGGGACGGAGCCATCAGTCAAGTGGCTGGGGTGGTTTGCCTGGTGAAAAGACCTCTCTTTCCTCCCTGGAATACAAACTGCAGCACAGGAGAGACAACCAGCAATGTACGATACATCACCCTGGCCACTTTTGCTCTCCTGAGATAACCCACAGGAGATGAACAAGGGCTTCTCTGTGCCAATCGACTCCAGCAATTTCAATGAGCCCAACAGAAGGGAATAGCAAGGACCAATTTTATAGAGCACTTTGATCAAGTGTGAAATGCTGCTGGGCAAACCCTTCACCTCCTGAGGGCAAATCCTCACCCCTGATCTCACAGTATTTAATATTTCAGGATGGATCTGAGCACTTGGATTCTATGACTGGTTAATGTGAGGTATCAAGAGTAGCTCAGCAGCTTGGGACCAGAACCCAAACCCTCTGTGCTGCATGTGGTGACCCCACATATGAGCCACAGTAGCATTCATGGCTGTTTCTGGACCGACATATCTCATGAGCCTTATTGCAAAATGACCCATTCTGCCTTGGATGACAACAGAGAAACTTCAATCTTTCTGCCTCACATCCAGAATATCTTGGTGGACAGAGCGTTCTCCAAAGCAGTAAAAATTAAGGGCTCAACCTAGGGCTCATGTCCATCACTCCCTGAATGAGAACACTGACCTGTTACTGCTAAAAGGTACCACTAACACCACCACCAGCCATTTTTCGGGCCGATGACATCATCTGTATGTCTGAGGAGACAGTCTGATGCCTCCTGGGAGATCCTACATGGCAGGCAGTCAGCTAGAGTAAGCAGGCTTTAGATCTCCTACATTTAAGCAAACCTAGTAGAGTATTACTTTAAAATCTTCTCTTGAACAGATAAATTCCGTTTAAATTTACTTTTAAGTGCACTGGTGTTATTTTGTATGTCAACTTTGAAGTATATTTCTGCAGAATATTCTCGTGGGCTCTTGAGTCCAGTTCCATCCAGCAAAAACATCGGGAACTTTAAAATATTTTAAGCTTTGTCATATATGAGTAAATATATCCAAATATATCAAATATATCCAAAAGATCATCACATGTAAAAGTGAATTTTTGACTCGTCCTATATGATGGACTGTGTGTTTCAATGATAAATTTTCTCTGTTTTTTCTAGATTTTACAGCTTTACTTGTTGATATCATTGGAAACTCCACCAGTTACCTCACAGAAATTTTTAAATCCACTTCTATTCTCTCAGGTTTGAATTTCCTTTTAACATTTATCATTATCTTATTTGTCTCACTTCTGGCATGGAAACAAGCACAGAAATGCAGATAAAAGCCTATTGCTCTTACTCAGCAGCAATTTTTTTTGCAAAGCATGGAACAAGATATGTATATAATGTGTGTGTATGTAATATAGAGACATACGAGTTTCTATGAGCACCTGTGTTTTGTTTGAATGTTTGGTTAACAGTTTCTAAAGCCTCGTATTTTTGAGAATCATTATTAAATACTCGTATTTGGGATAATTATGATTCCCAAGAATAATTAGGAGCTTTATTATCAGAATAATTTTTTTTTACATAAAAATACTTGTAATTTAGAATTTTAGCTAGATGGAAACGTTTCCCCTGAAAAAATTAACATGTGGATTTGACGCTGGTTTGAGGTTTTGTCAAAAAACAGATGAGAAGGAAAATACTTGACCAGCTGCCACAACCACATACCATATATTGTTTGTTTTCTCAGCTGTTTAAGATATATAATGAAAAGTGGTAACAATGATCTCTTTTACATTTTTTTGCCTTTCAGTACGTCAGAGCAATGACTCAGATTGTATCTATATCTGTGTGATGACAGGGCAGACAGGTAAAAGCTAAAACCATTCCACCCCCAAATATTGCCCTGTTT